TTTCCGTAAACCTGTTGCACGCAGTACAACGCAGTTGGTCAACTGCGAAGCAAACAGCGAGCGCAGTTTTTCTCGACTTATAAATATGAAAGCATTAAACATAAACAAAATTCTAAAAACATAGGCACAAGCACAAGGATTTTGAAATAGTTAACTTGTTAATAGTAAATATAACATTTATTATAAAAAAGCGCTAATATATGTTGCCATTGCTCTTAGTGTAAGAGTGCTGAGACAAAGTCTTGTTTACTTTCACTTTTACTCGTTTTGTTTCTTCTTCTAAATCGGGAAAAATGCCGTCTTCCGTGTTCTTTTTTTGATAATTTAGGACCTGCTTAATATCCCGTCTTTATTAAAGGATTACTCATAACATCTTTCTTTCAGTAAATTGCGCGGCAGGCTATATCGCCTCAAAGCCTAATTCTTTATAATTTTATGAAAGCTTCAAGTTCGTCGCAAATACGCCCAACTATTCAGAACGGAAAGTATCCAAATTTCTGCCATTATCAACTCCAATATGTTCACTCCCAATATATTCGTACGTAATTACCGTACCAAATTTGATGAGAAGTTTTGTAATCTCAAAAGAGGCAACACACAAGTGAAGCAGACTTCATATATAACGCACTAGACAATAACTTCGTGGGATGACTTTTAGATGTTACCACTATTGACGAATCGATATGATTTTTAGATAGCATCAATTTCTAAACGAAATATGTGAAAATTTATTACAGTGCGACCATTGGTTTACAAATTGCAGTCGATTTAGTGACGCTACTTTTTGAATTTTCAACACAATGGAAAAAATCTGAATTTAGTATGTTCGTATATTTGATTACGTTGCTTCTTGATGAGAAGACGCCCGTTCACAATCAGCATTAAATTGAGAGATGTTACGGCGACTGCTGCCTGTCGGAAAAAACGAATTTGTAAGTGATTTGTTGGTTTTAAACAAAGCCGTATAGATACTCGTAGCGTTAAATGCTTTAATCGCTCTAGTTTGGCAATAATTCCAGATAATATAAAAGAGCACAACACATCGTTCTGGAAGACCGAAAACAAAGTGTGCCGCGTTTGCTTACTTTTGACGAAAAACAGTAGTGTGTTGATGAGTCAAAGAGCTCTTCGGAGCTGTTTACGTGGAAAAAAAGGATTTTTCATGCGATGACAATCTAATCGGTATGGATTTCAAAAAATGCTCGTCGGAAGAGATGCTTCTAGTGAAGATATGACCGCCGAAACGGAAGCGTACTTTAAAGTGTTGGACACTTCGTTCTATAAGAAAGGCACGGATATGTTACGAGAAGCGATGAATGGATATATTAAACGTAAAGGAGATTACGTTAATGAATAAAAGCAAATTTTACCTAAGAATTGTTGTTTCTTGAGAGATGCTTCGAGCTTATAGAATAATGTGTTAACTACACATTATAGTGATTCGCCTGCTTTCATTTACTTGTATCATATCATTAGAGAATATAGGTGTGGTGGTGGGTATGCGCAATTCGTCGTAAGAAGAATTAAGTCCTCTTAACGAAAGAAAAGGAATCCCTCGTTTTCACAGAAAAAAAAATTTTATGTAACTTAAAAAAAAAGGAATAATTATAGGAAAAAAAGAAAACAGAATATAGCATAACTTAAAAACATAATACAATTGCATAGTAGCTCTTAGCAATAAGTCACATCACATTTAGATTTCAATACAATAATCTTTAGACCATTAATTAGAAAAACGTATTTTTGCTTTTGTTTAATATTTTTTTCGTTTTATTTAGAAGTTTTTTTACGTTTGCATATATGTTTGCGTATATATTCAATTACTAACTTATTAAACAGAACTTAAGAAATATATTGATATAAATAAATAGAAAATAGAGAAAAAAAGGAAGGTAGAAGGAAAAGTAAAAAGTAAAGTTTTCAAAAATTATATAAAATAAGTAAAATAAAAATATAACTTAATAATGTAAGTATGCTATGTTTTAAACCAAATTCGAAACCATTACGGGCTCAATAAATGTTATTAAAATATTTTTTATTTAGTCAGAAAACTCTTCGCTTCTAAACCAATGCTTTCTTATACTCTTCGAGATATTCCCTGCACTTCTCGCAAATTTTTTTAACAATATTTCTCTCATTATTGGGAAGAAAATCGTTTCATAAAATGTGGTTACTTTAAATTATTCAACTTTGTTTTGATATTTTTCTGATTTAATATATAATTGAAAGAATATCAAAAAATTACAATAGAAGAAAAAACATAAATTTGAAGACAATAATCTTGAGAGCCAGTGATACATAAATGTTTGTGTATATATTTATTATAACTGCATAAGAAAAGGTACAAGGAAAATTTTCGAATTCAGCTTTCATATATTGTTTTAAATTTATTTCATTTCTTGAATTTTGTTTTTAATTCACTACCTTTTCAAGTTCATTAAAGCATCACCTCACATCAAAAGAAATCTAAAAAATGAAGAGATTTAAGAAAAACACCTGGAGAGAATAATAATATATATGACTTAGGTCAAGTATTTTAATACCCACCACTTGTTTCTCTTCCATTCTTTTATTTGCATTTCTTCTCTTTTGACAAAGTCTTAATATTCTAACGCCTGGAAACACAGTTAATTTACCGGTTAATAGCCTAAGCATCCTATAATTATAATAGGAAATATACGCAGTATTCCCAGCATATAGATAGATCCATACTGTATGTTCAAATTTGCAGCCAACGTAGTTAGCTTGTTGATTATTGGAAAGGTTACATGTGGTTTCGACGCTTTTGCTAATTAATTATTTTATGATAGGCGTATTACATTAGATACAGAGCTTTACTTCTATACTAATTATATATTTACTATTGAAAGTGCGGTCCATCGCTAGGCGCTACCTTCGCTATATTCTAAAAACAATGGGAATGCCATACGGAATGAACAACTGGTCCTTTAAAGTTGTCCACAAAATAACTTCTACCACCAGAGCGCAAGTAGCACTCGAACAAACAATAAGTCATCTACTGAAATCCATATTAACCGGAGGACTAATGTCTGTGCGGAGGATAGGACATTCTAGTTTAGAATTTCAAATATTTCCTGAACGAGTTTTGCATTGTGACACAGAATTTCCTCGTTACAGAAAAATTGCAATATCATCCATCCCGACCGGCCGATAAGCTTTATCGTCTACTCTGCACCATGATTATTTGGGCCGGTGATATCGTAAGGCATCATTTGTTCGGCATTCGTGAAAATTTTACAGCATTATTCTTCCAATTAAATAGACCTGTTCAAACCCCTAAGAAACTATGCTATGTACGCTTTATTCTGACTTGCGCTTAGTTATAGAGAAGTTACTTTCAAATGAAGAACTAAAGGTTTTGTTTAAAAACAGCAACTGCGGTGCCCTCTCGGACAAAAGGGAGGAATCAATTTCATACACTCATTATTTCAAAAATTAATAACTACATTTTTCCACAAACATTTACGGAGGATAAATACGGACGGCTTTTACGAACTCCGCTTTTAAACAGATTGAAATACGTTACGAGGAAAAGGTTATATTCGGTTCTTTTTATAATCACCGCGAATTAGTTTTGAAAAAGGGATAGCCTTAAATATATTATAATTATTAATATATTTCCTTATTTCTTGATCCAACAACATAAGTGCGATATTTGGTACAATTTTGTTACATTTCCAAATAACCCGAGCATAAAGTCCACTTTGCTGTAAGAAAACAATATTGCAGAAACGTATGTTTGCAAATACGGTTTTTACTTATTTCTGATATACACTTTATCTTTCAACAAAAGTCTTTAACCGTTAAATGGAATACTGTCATTACATCGAACGTAGACCGCTCAAACTGAGAGTTTTAGAAGTAAAATGAAAATATCAATATTACATTATTACCGTATGGTAACTAAGACTGCAAAACTGAAACGTAGATGGTGGCGGATCGCGTATACTAAGCAAAATTATTAAGCAAGAAGTCCGCCGTATATAAACATAGTTTTTCGTTAATAATCGGATCGACTATGAATGTTCAATAAGAAACTTAAAATAAAATTAAAATTTTTAAGGTAGTTGGGTCAATAGCTGTAGAGCGACTAATAAGAGATAAAAAAAAAATAAATACTTTTATATAGATCATAAACGGAAAGGAAAGGCAGCCCGTGGAGCATAGTCTGTTTAAGATAACCAAAAATATATTTAAAGTATGCTTGTCTTCGTGTTCCCTATTACTTATTTTTAAGCATTGCAAATATCTGGCAAATCTAACACGTCCCTTTATCCCTTTCACTAGCACATATCGTGTCGAAAACGCATTCCAAATGGTGCCTTAATGCCACGGCATAAGCCTTAGCAAGTAATTTAACGCGCTTTTCTGTTAGCACGTGCTACGGCATTTGATATTTTCGTAAATTTGACTGTCATAAGTTTCCAACTGAGAATCGCTGCGCCACAACTTGCATCCACAAAATTTAAAACAAATTAGTTGACCGCTTTCTGCACAATTTACAAATCGCCGATCATACTAATGCGAAGTTAACAATTTGCCTAAGAATTTAAACATAGTTTTTTTATGTACGCGTAATCTAGCACGTAGGTAATTGTTACAATACTAAAGATTTCTGTTAGGCGGTATGCACAAATTCCTGAGGGGCCATCGACTTGCAGCTTATTTTCGAATTTAATGACGTTAAATATCAAAATTTTAAATTCAATTAAAACTTATACAAAACAAAACTTTCAGGAGGTACGCGCATTTAACAAAACAGATAAGCAAACGAACTTAATTAAGCTAATCCCGTTCATTATGTTACTCAATATTTTCTTTACTTTAGCTTATGGGGTCTCTGAGGAATATTTCTTGGCGTTATAACAATTTGAACTTTATATACACCATAAAATAAGGTGAGTACAAAAGCTATAATTAATTAAATAAAAAAAAAAA